TAGATACATATTACTTTATAGTTTATTGTATATAGAGATAGCGTAGTTAGAGTTGTATATTATATTGTTTAAAGGTGAGGTTTGATATAGTTACATAATTAGGTAGTTAAGTGTCTAATTTAGCGCGGGCTAAGCAGCTTATTAGACTTGCTAAGTTAGCGGCAATAGAGGTCTTAGAACATAGACAGGCTACGAGGGCGCGGCCTTTAGAAGGGAAGCGTGTATTAGGGCTAAAGAGGCTATACGTAATTAGCATATAACTAGGCTAAGTAAAGCCAGGGTCTTAGTGCCTTAGGCAGGGCTTGGCGCTTAGCAATAGGCCAACTTGCCTGCCTTCCTCCCTCTCCTCCTAGCTCCTTATCGAATACTACTCGTACCTACTACTACCCTATCTACCTACTAATATACCCTTCTCACAATATCGTAGATATAAGGTGCGTAGCACATATTATTAATTTAATAAGTAACTCTATTCTATTATATTGCTTTTTTATACCTAATACAAGCAAAATCTTTATAAATACTATAGATAATATAGTTAGAAATAATCCTACTTATTCTTTTACTTCTAGTATGAAAATACTACCTAGTAACTTACGAAAGATTATTAGGGCTTTTAAAACAAATCACTTTCTAAAAAACACTTTTAGTCGAGTAGTAAAAGAGAATAAAAAGCTATATAATACTAAAGGAGGTTCCGAGAAGCTTAAAGGCGATAATGTTACTAGATGGCTATCTAAATATAATATGATTACTAGTGTAATATATCATTTTAGTGAAATTAATAAAGTCTTAGATACCGCTAGTAGATTACCTAATAAACAGAGACGTAGCTTGAATATAGATAATTTTACTATTAGTAACGAAGAGTTCGACTATCTTATTATATTAAGAGATATTCTAGAGATATTTAAACATCCTACTAAGCTATTTCAGGCCCGAGACTACGAGACTATATCAAAGACTATATTATAAATATTTAAAATTATAAGGAGTTTAGAAAAGACCTTAGAAAATCCTAGTATTAAAGCTAATCCGTTTCTAAAATACGGGGTAGAACAGGCTATTACAAAAGCCTTAGAGTATTATCCTATTAAAGATACGACCGTTTTAGATAGTAATAGTAAAACAGTTACATTTAATAAACTAAAAGACTTACTAGTTATAACGGTTCTAAATCCGTGTTTTAAGTTACAAGTTTTAGAAAGTCCTCCGCTTAACTTTAGCCCTATTATAATAGATGAAGTAAAAGATTATCTGAGAGAAATATATAATAGTTATAAAAGCGAGTATAATAGTACTAGGGGCCGCACAGATATTTATAACGAATCGCAAGTTACGGTTGCTAGCAGTTCTAGAACGAATAATAACGATAGCGGCGACGACGAATTCTATATTAAAGATAATAAAGTACGATTAGAAACGGACGAGTTAGAGACCTACTTATCCGAGCCTAGAGTACCGAAAGATAGGAATAATACAAATTTACTAGAAGATTATTATAGAAGTATGGAGTATAGACTACCTATTATTTATAATATAGCTCGAGATTGGCTATCTATATTAGCAACCTCGGTACCTAGCGAGTCGTAGTTCTCTATAGCAGTCGATATATTAACAAAGAAACGTAATAGACTTAGCTCGGAGAATCTTAAGAGACTTATTATATTAAAGAGTCTAGGGGTTATTAAAGACGAAGAAGATATAATAAAAGATAAAGAAGTAGATACAGAAAGAATTCTAGAAGCATTTAGTTCGAGTAATAAAGGAAAAGGAAAGGCTACTAAGGAAGATTTAGATTTAGAGGAATTAGAACAAACTATAGGGCTTCTAAGTGAAGACGAAGAAGTATTTAGTGAAGATAAAGACTACGATGCTTTAGATATAGACAATGAAGATATAGACCTAGACGCTGAAATAGGTTTTAATTAGATTAGAAGTTAGTATAGCTTATAGTATAAATATAAAGAAAAATAGAAAAATATACTACTATAATACTAAATCTTGGCTTTATAAGTACTAATAGTACTGGCTTAGTCTAATACTACAGTATAGGAAAGAAATATAATAAGACTAAGATCTAGAGAGGATACTATTTTATAATTAAGGGTTATTCTATTTAAACACTAGAAATCTTTGTATTAGAGATTATTAGCCTTCCTACGTATACGATATAAATTCTGTTATTATATAGGATGGATTTGTACTAAGTCCGACCTAGAATACTACTATTTAGTCCCGAAACTATACTACCTTAGCGTTAGATTGCGTTAGATTTCTCAAAGTCTAATATCGGGGGCCCCCCGGCTTCTAGGGCTTTTATAGCCTTCCTACGTATACGATATAAATTCTATTGTTATACAGGATAGATTTGTACTAAGTCCGACCTAGAATACTACTATTTAGTCCCGAAACTATACTACCTTAGCGTTAGATTGCGTTAGATTTCTCAAAGTCTAATATCGGGGGCCCCCCGGCTTCTAGGGCTTTTATAGCCTTCCTACGTATACGATATAAATTCTATTATTATATAGGATAGATTGAGACTAAATTCGACCTACAATACTACTATTTAGTCCCGAAACTATACTACCTTAGCGTTAGATTGCGTTGGAAAAACAAGGCCTAAATTAAGATTTTAGTAGGGTTTTAGATTACCCCTAACTAACGATAGTATTTGGTAGTTATATAGGCTATATATAGCCTATCTTAGAGCGACCTTAGTAGCTCTAAATGTCCAAGCCTCCGAGAATTTCTTCGATTTCTGAAACAAAAATTAGTACTCGTTTTAGTATTCCTGTTTATACTTACGTTCGGCGGTAAATTCTTCGAAGTTTAGAGTTGGCAAATCCTCGAGTTCGGGCTCCGGAAGAGGCAGGGGACCCGGTATAACTGTCGGCAGATTCTCGTTGTGCTAAACAGCGACTAAAGCCGTTAGAAACGCAAACGCGACGGCAACCTCAAAGGCGGGTAGTAGCGTACGTACGGCGCGTTTCTAGGTCGTAGATACGCTCGTTTAGAGTCCGAATCTCGGCCTTAAGGTCCTTGATTTTGTCTATATATTTCTAAACCTTACGAAGGGCATGCTTAAGAGCAAAGAAGTCGCGACGCTAAGTCGGGCTTCGAAACAGAATTAGCGAACGAACCTAGGTATCGCAGTACAAACCCGTATTTCTTTAGCGTAACACGTTCACCGAGGGACCTAGTAAAGTCGTAACGGTGATCGTAGGCATTAAAGCCGTACGGATAGTAAAAACGGCGCTGTCGAGGCATCTCGAAAGGCAGAGATTTATTCGGAATTTGTTAAGTTATTCTGTATTCTTTGTCTACGTTACGAGTTTGTTTAGATAGAGAGACTGCGCTATACGGTCGCATAAGACGTATAGTAATACCCTACATACCCCGCTCTAACTCCGCTCTAACCCCGCTCGTAGAAACTTTCCTAATTTAGAACTACTAAATTAGGAAATAACTTTAATAGGCTTCGAATACCGTACGGAATTCTATAGGACGGTTTAGTAAGAAACTCTAGAAAAACAAGTTGTAAGCAGATACGATATATACTTAATAGTCTATATTTTTAATATTAGCTTAATATATATAGTATTTGTTTAGATATTTAGATTTAAAGTAAGATATATTTTAGATTATTAAAAATATCCTTTTTCCTAGCGAATTCTAGATAACTAGATAGCTTTATAATAAATTCTATAATTTTTAAGTATATAAAAGACTGTTTTTTTGATTTTCTAATTATTATATATATAGCCTTTTTAAATGCTGTTACTTTTATCGCTATCCCTGTATCTACACAATTAGATATATTATATTACGAGATTTCTAATCATTTTAGTATATATATTAATTCTTTAATATTTCTATTAATAGCTACTATATCTAATAAATTAGTAGTTCTCTCTAGATCTAGTTTTATTTACTTTACTAGTGTTAGTACTATAACCTAGTACTATTAGGTAGTAAAAAAACTAGATCTTTCTAACTATATATATAATTTTTCTTTATACTATAACTAGTAAAACGATAAAGATATTAATTTGCCTAGAAGCATATTCTAAATTATTTTAAAATTGATATCGCTCCAGGTTTACTAGATACAGCTCTAGAAAATATTATAATATATTTAAGAAAAATAAAGACAAGGACTTATATAGGATGCACTTTAGTAGAATAGATAGTATAATAGTAATTACTAATAAATAATTAATTCTCTTTAAATAATAAATATTAATTTATATAGTTTATTTTAGTTTATTAGAATTAGTAATATAGCCTACTTAGTTTAGATATAAGAAAGATTAGATCTTTTTTAGCTAGATATAGATTTAGTTTAAATCAGTATATCTAAAAAACATATAATAATATTAATTTCTTTAAAAATGTATTCTAAAACGTTTGAAAATTAAGCTCTATATAGTTTTACTAGATATAGCTCTAGTAAATATTGCAATATATTCTAGAAAAATAAGTATTAGGGCTTATATATAAAACAGTTTACTATAATAACTTATATAATAGGAATTACTAATAAATAAGTAGTTCTTTATAAATGCTGTTTTATTTAATTTACTAGTATTCGTAATATAGTCTACTTAATCAGTTGTAAAAGAAAATTTAACTATACATAATTTTTTAATAGTCTATCTATTTTAACTATAAAGATATTAACTTCTATAAGAACCTACTATTAGAATTTTAAAAATTAATATCTCTATAGTTTTACTAGATATATCTATAGTAAATATTATAATATATTCTAGAAAAATAGATGCTAGGACTCGTATAGAATACAATTTACTATACTAAATAGTAGAATAGTAATTACTATAGTAATAGTAATATTACTATAGTAATTACTATTACTATTACTATTACTATTACTATAGAATTCTCTGTAGGATTACTATTACTATTACTATTACTATTGCCAATTTGACTTTACTATTTACTATTTACTATTACTATTACAATTACTAAGGTTTTTACATCTCTGAACTGTGCTACTTCACATTGCCTGCGTGTCCCTTCGTAGCACGCAGCTCTGTGCCGAAGGAGGCCTTTATCAGCAGCCCTTTCTCGGTGGTGTCGGACTCCGAAGGAGAATATTAATGTTCTCAGTCCAGATCAGCTCGCGGTTGGTGAGTGTGTATACCAAGCTATGTATAGCAACGACTGACAAGGATTGTGGTGTTCTAGTCCACTTTTGGTGCAAGGCAGGCTGCGATCCCACCCAGCGTCAATGCAACCCGTAGAATAAGCTCGACCGTATGGGCGCGAAGCGTCTTCTCCTTGCCATCAGCGGAAATCGTGTCCATGCCAGAGATGTTGCTGCCGTTGCCGCTGCCGTTGCCCATGTGGCCAGCTGCCTCAGCACTTCCAGAAGGTCAGGAGAGGAAGCGAAAATCTATCTCGCTCACAATAATACCTAACGTCAGTAGCTCGAGGGCCCGACAGTTCCGTGGTGTTCACCTCAACCAACCCGACGACGCACCACTTTCCCACGTTGGCACTCGGACAACAGGCAGGCAGGATCCTGGTCGATCAAAACACATATAGAGTGTAACTCAATGCAGGCATAATCTGCTGCTCCCATTGGATAAGACAGCAGTCGCAGGGCTCGGAGGCTCTTCCACAGGGTGTAGATCATGCTACTGAAACTATGAAAGCGGGCACGTAGGTAACTGCCGCTGCGATGCTAACTTACTTACCTACTGTACATCAGTCGCGGCCTCCCATCAATTGTTTAACGCTAGAGCAACTGACTGACCTCTTGGCGACCGACATCCTTAAGCTGGGAGATCGACTCCGTAACCGGTAGATACTCTCGAGCCATTCCCATCTGGCTCTGAATCGCGGTGACAGCTCATGACGATGCGGTGCGAAATGCATGCGGCAACTCGGAAATCGAAGGATAGCAATGGATTCTGGTTCGGAAGGCATTGTGTCCTTCTAGTCCTTCTCCTGCTTGCAATCTGCACAATCTACGCATTTGGACCAGGTCTGAATCCCGAACAACCATCATACGGCCGTCACAACAAGCGAGCAGCTGATCCCAAACCTCCTCAGCCTCCACTAGTCTTTGGCAAGGACACCGTCGAGTCGCTGCAGAAGTTGCTGGACAAACTGGTAGCCGATGAGAAAGCAACAGTCGAGACCATCATCAAGAACTCTGCGACCCCTAAGGATGCAACATTTAACAACACCATCAAGCCTTATGCTGACCACGAGAACGATTCTATTCTGGTGCTGCACGGTCTTAATGCGTATTCCTCTATATCCCCAGATGCAGGGCTTCGGAACTTCTCTAGTGTATCCGCCATTCCTTTGGATGAGAGGTACGAGAAAACAATGGGGAATAGGGACCTTTTCGCTCGTGTCGACTTCGTTTACCAGCAACAGAAAAAGCAGCCAGATCCCAAGCTAAGCGCTGAGGACCGCCTGTTCCTTGAAAGGTTTTGGCGCAGCTTTGCAAACAATGGGCTGAACCTCCCGGACGGAGAGCTCAAAAGGTTTCAGGACATCTCCAAAAAGTAAATCTTTGATTTCTGTATGAAGTCACAGGCACAAGAGCTAACTTGTCACTCAGTATCACCAAACTCACGTCTGAATTTGGAGACACTGTGAACGCGATCAACACGACACTGTATTTTACCAAAGACGAGTTAGACGGCACTCCTCTAGAAACCTTGAATGGCCTTCCAAAGGGCACTGGCGAGAACCAAGGCAAATTTGGGCTCGGCATGGCAAGTCCCGATTATGGAGCAGTCATTTCGCATGCGAAGAACGAGACTGTGCGGCGTCTCATCACGTACACAAGTTCACAGACGGCCCCATCCAATTTGGAGGTCATACAGAAGCTGATCACGCTGCGAGATGAGATGGCCCGTCTACTAAATTATAGCAGCTTCGCGGAGCTAGCAGTGCGAGATGAGATGGCGAAGACCCCCAAAGCAGTTGAGAAGCTTTTGGCAGACGTTAAGAAACCAATGCTTGAGAAACTGCCCAAGGAAATACAGCATATCAAAGACTGGAAGAAGAATGAAACTGGCAATGCCGACCACCTGTACCTTTGGGATGATTATTACTACACTTCGAGAATATACGAGGACGAGTACAAGCTGGATGTCGACTACCTCAAGGAATGGTTCCCGGCAGACTACATGTTCGAGCGGCTCCTCGAAATGTACGAGCAGATCTATGCCCTCAATTTCATTGCTATCACTGGGAAAGATCTTGACGATCTGTCTCCGACGAAGAATGGGTCAGATCTCTTCTGGGCACCAGACGTCACCCTTTATGCTGTATGGGACGATGCGGACGACACCAAGGGGGATTTTATTGGCTATTTATATGTCGATCTATACTACCGTGAGGCAAAAGCCCCTGGTGCGTTTATGATGCCTTTCGTTGCCGGATTTGAGAACCCAGATGGCTCGCGTACCTACCCGTCTGTGGGCCTCTTCTGCAATTTCAAGAAGAGCGATTCGAATACGGCGAAGCCGCAACTCATCAAGCGCAGCGAAATCCAGACTATCCTCCACGAAGCTGGTCATTGCATGCACGGATTGACATCGAAGGTGAAATATGGCCGCTTCCACGGTACAAATACACCGCGTGACTGGGTGGAGATGCCTTCTCAGCTCATGGAAAATTGGTCGTACATTCCTGCTGTCCTCAAGCGACTCAGCAAACACTGGTCTTATCTCTCGCCAGAAGCTCTGAAGGCATGGCAGAAAGAGCGGACAGACGCCAAAAAAGACACTAAGCAACCGGAAGAAAAGTTTCCGGACGATCTGATCAAGCAACTAATACTTTCCAAGAATGCGTTTACGGCGTCATACATGCTCGGGCAGGCCTTTTTTTCAGCGTATGACTACATCCTTCATGATCCCAAGTCGCGGGAAGACCTCCAAAAGATCGATCAGACTGTGGCATACAACAAAGGCTATAAGGACTACAGTGGTCGTGACGGTCCTGAGGTCTTGGACCCGAACATTCCGGGCAATAAGGAAGTTGGCGCTGGGAAGGGCTTTGCCTGGGGTCACGGCCAGACGACTTTCACGCACATCATGAGTGGCGGATATGAAGGCAGGTACTATTCCTATACCTGGGCCCTGATCAATGCCAAAGATGTCTTCTACACTGCATTTAAGAAGGATCCTTTCAGCCGCGAGGTCGGGGCCAAATGGAGGAAAACTGTCCTAGAACCTGGTGCGACGAAGGATTATGACAAGATTCTTGAAGAGTTTCTGGGTCGCCCGCCGAACAGCACGGCTTTTCTTAGGGATCTTGGAGTTGATGTATAATCGCTTTCGCATATCTTGAAGACGAAACACTCCTTCGAATAACGCGATCGTCTTTCTGATTTGAACCGTCGGTGTTTCCTCTCGAGGAACTTGTCCATGTATCTATTCCATTGTCCCTGTATGACCTTTTCGCTCTTGCGGGCATTGGAGTAAGTACTTCCCTCTAGCTTTGGTGAGCTGCCGCGGACCTCTCTCAGGTCCAGCTCAAGATCATATTCGGCCAAGCATCTGACCGCTTTCCAGTAACGAGCTGCTAGTTAGATTGCGGCCTCGGGCGCGCTGTGGTCGCATGGACCAGCGCAGTACCAAGGCTTTGCTGCCGCTGTGGTTGTCGAGTAGTGGATAGTCAGCCCGGAACAGATGCTTGAGCGCGAATGTCCTGTCCGTCACGACTGCTCCAATTGAACCACGCCGTATCAGTATGCCTCTTCGCTCCTGCCTCTGGCAACTAGTGTGATATCTGGAATCCAGCATTCCACCAACACTCGGCGCATTGAAGAAGTCTAGCCGACTTTGGTAAGCAATGCAGCATTCTCAGACGTGAAGACATATTTGCGATCTAGCCAGTAATAGTTTGAACGAATCTTTCTCGTGGCGTACAGCAATGCGCTATATCGTGATTATTCCACGGTCTTAGGACGTCTTCATCTCCGATGGTCGTCCTCTAGGACTCATTCGACGCTATTCACAATAAGTCAAAGAAAGTGAGAACAGCCTGAAGCATCAGCATAGATCTCGTCTGAATCATGCCCTATACGTTGCTTATCCGGAATGCCATGTACAGACCCGCGAAGTTCAGCACAAACTTGACTATTACCACGCCGAAGCTTTGTCCTTGCATATCGCCGAACATGAATTGATCGACCATTCGTCAACCAACAGCGACTTTCAACGCCTCCTGCGGCCTTGACTTGAGCAGCCTCCCTCTTCCATCAGCTCATCTAATGAAAGCCTGATTGTCTAGCCACCATAGGTCTATTGAGCCATTGATGCTGAAAACTCGTCCCAAAGCCTGCTTGGCCACCATTTGGACACTGACGAAGACTTTGAATGACAAGGGTATCAGGTGGAGCGCGTTTTCAACCGCCGAGCTGTCGAATACTCCGCTCATGTATCTTGATGGTTCGCTCGTGGTCTTTGATTCTCTTGTCACGAGCGCGAACAGCGTCTTCGAGTCCGCTGGCATATTTCGTCCACTCCTGAATCTTTTGAGCCTTCCTACTGATCGCCTGTTCCAGGACCAATGTGCTCTGCTTGGAATCTCCCTTCTCTCGAAGCAAGTCCTCCAGCACCTCAATATTCTCTTGCTTTAGTGCAAGTTTCTCGTGCATAGCTCTTTTGCTCTGGGCCCATCTATCTTGTAGGTCCTTGATGGCGCGATCTTTCTCGTTAACATCACACTCGAGCTGCAAAATCTTCTGGATAGTGGTCTCATGATCGGTTGCTGCTTGTCTGGATTTGCGCGCCGTATCGCTATGAAGTCGCAATTCGGCGGTTTTCTGCGCAAGAAGGTCGCTTTTCTGCTTGAGAGTGGCGTCTTTCTGCGCGACTGATGACTGCAAATGCGCAATAAGCGTCACTTGCTTTTCGTGGTTTTCCGATAACTCCGCATTGACACGTCGAAGATCAGAAACCTCGTCATCTCTCGCGGCCGCAAACCGGGCATATTCTTCGTAAGCGGCGGCGCAAGCCTCATAGTGCTCTCGCTGGAGCTGTGCGATACGGCAATCGCTCTTACGCTTCTCCTCTTCGATAGCAGCTCGGATGGCTCCCTCAGCATCTCCTGCTGGAGCATCTGATGCACCGCGCTGGAGATAATGTCAGCTACAGTAGTAAAATTGCCGTGTGACCGCGATGGTACTGACTGTCATAGCTCGCCAAAATCGCGTCAAGGACAAGAGCGAAGGCCTCTGCAAAAGCGCGAAATTTGTGAGCTGGTGCTCCCTCGCCGTTTCACTGAGAGCGACATTAGCAATCATAGCGCCTTTGCATTATGATGGTAGGTGATACCGACCAGGCGTTGCGGTTGGATGCGCAATATCGCACTTGGTGCTTCAGTGAACGGCAAAGTTTTGAAGGCGTGGACGCAGACCGGTGTGCAATTCGGCACTAGTCCGCCGAACGCTCCTTCCCAATCTGAGACCGTGAGCTTTGCATGTGAAAGCTGATGGCACCAGGACGAATGTTGTGGCGAGATCGTTCGAAAGTGAAGGTCAGCGGCAGAGGTGAAGACAATGCCATTGTAATGGCGCTTCTGCATGTACCAGGCTTCGTCAAAGATCTCCAGTCGAGAAATCTCTGTTCGTAAGATCCCACACAATGAATTATCCAACGTCGTGCACAAGAGATCAGACATTGTCTCTACACACATCCATAAATACCTCTCTCATCCTCGTTCCATCTTCGTCTCTTGCCTGCACCACACAAATCACCACGAACCCAAAATGTCATCCTCACAATTTTCAGACGAAGACGAAGAGCCCCAACGCTGCTGCATCCACACCAACAACCCAACATGCAGCATCTGCTCCGAGAACTTCAAAATCCTCACCGCCTTTGCCCTGCTCTTACTGATCCGCCCCCTAGTCATACCCATCAACATCATCACGACTTTCGTGACCCTTTGCCTAATCTTACAGGCCCTCGTCTATTCGAGCATGCTGTGCGAATACCTTCTCAGCTCGGAGCCACTCCATGAGCACCCCCAGTATTCCTGGCTCTTTCTGGAAGCGATAAGCGAAGGAGAGCGGTGTGCAAAGGTTGGTGTCGTGCTGGTGCTGTATGCACTCGTTTCCTACTGCCTGATGTGCTTCTGGGCTTCACATCTTGGATGGATCGCATCGGATTGCTTGTTCATGACGGCGGTGAAAATGTTGGTCTGGTGCGAGGCTGCGATTTGCGTAGTGCTTAGTCTCTACCAGCTGATCCGCTGTGCCGTGTCACAGCAGCAAATGTAATTTGAGGCTCGCCGCAATCTAGCGCAGAAATCTGCATCCATATCAGTGATATTCGCATAAGATCTTCGTTGACTTGGTCTCAATCGTGTCATTATTAGCTCCTTTCATCATCACATCTACAATGCTCTTCTGGGGGTATCTCAAATGCAGGAACAGCAAAATGCGGCTGAATGTGAAACGCCTCCCAAATGCATCATTTTCTTCCTTCGCACCATTTCCGTGCTTGTGTTTTGTTCATACTAATAGAGAAGTCCACTAGACCTCTCAACCGTCCTGCGAGAAGCAAATGCCGCATAACACACCGTCACTTAAAACCCAATGCCTTCTATGCAGTAGGTAGGCCGTGTGGTCTGTTCGGATTGTTATGAGTCGAACTTGGTCGTCTATTTGTCGTGGGGTTGCTGCTGCTGGGCGGGAAGGGGGTGTTGTTGCGTCCGACATTGGGCATTGACGAAGGCATGGGCAAGCCATGTATTGGCGTCTTCACCGGCAGAACCACGTTCAACGCAGACGGTCCCTGAGCAGGAAGGCCACTCTTAGCAGCGCTCGGTGCAGAGCTAGTCTTACCGGCTCCGCTGCTTGACGTTTGCTTGCCCTGAGTGGGCGGCGGCATAGCTGTCTGACTCGCTGTCATAATACCAACCTTCTTGCCTTTCCGAGTCTGCAGTTGTTGGGCCAGCTCCTCCTGTACCTCTCGTTGCTCTTGTTCATTCAATGGTTCGTCTTTGGCATCCTCTTGCAGCGTCTCGGTAGTGATAAGCGAACGGATCATATGGCCTAGATGCCCGCCATCCCCCATTTGCTTGATTTGCCTCTTGAGAATTGCATCAAGCACTTTCTCGTCTTTGCCGATCCACTCGTGCAAATTCATCTCTTGCTCCACTTCTTTCGGCTCGAAAAGCCACTCTCGTGAGTTCAGAGTGGCGTTCCGCTTTGGATTCTTCTTATCCACAACTCGTGAGGTCAGAGACTGCTTGAAGCGTTGTTTGTTGTGAATCTCGTCCTCAAACGTACCGCCGATGATGAGGCGATACACAAATACTGGCTTTTCCTGACCGAGTCGGTATGCACGACCGATAGCTTGCTCCTCGTGAGCTGGATTGAAACCAGAGTCGAGTATAACGACACGGTTTGCAGCCTGAATATTGAGTCCGACTCCGCCTGCTCTCGTAGAGATTATCATGACGTCGTCGATGCCGTTGTTGAAGTTCTCCACGACTTGTTGACGCTTGTTCGCTGCGACGTTGCCATCAATCCTCCCGCATCGATAGCCACGGCTGTTGAGAAGCTGTGCAACATAGTCAAGGGTCGGTATGCTGCTAGAAAATACAAGCACCTTGTCGTCGCAGCTTTTCGATAGTTTGATGATGTCGATGAGCAGAGACATCTTAGAGGACAAAGAAGGATCCAACTCGTCGTCAATGTCACTGACCAGATGATCGACGGTCTCGTTCGAGAAGCCCAGAACACGAAGTGTGTCGTCAATGTCACCAATCTTGTCCAGGTCCACCGCAAGGCCGTCTTCTTCCTCATCTCCTGCTAGAGCAGGAGCTGGGGTCGCAGAGCCGCTGTCAGAAGGTCCCGGTGTAGTTTCGCGCGAATTGTCCTCGGAATTGCCTTTACGTTTCGCTTTCTTTGGCTGTACCGGCGTCAAAAGCTTCCGCTTGAAGGCAAGTGGATGATTGAGCAGTAGTGTAAGCACAGCAAGCCAACCGAAGATCCGTACTTGGCTGGCTTTCTCCTTATCCTCCGTGCGAAGCAGCACGCCCAGGAACTTTTGGTAGGCTGCATGTTGCACCGCTGTAAGGGGCATTGTGACAGCATACTCCACCTTTGATTTGATGGACCCACGGAGAACGGTAATGTCTGCACGATTGACCTTTGGCTCAATCTTACTGTGAAGCACGGCGAGCTTTTTGAGAGATCTTCGACGCTGGGACAATGTACTATCTCTGCCGTTGCCCTCCTTGATGGGAGTCGAGAATTGCTGTGTAAACCAGCCACGCTCTCCCAAATAGTCCGGCGCCACGAAGGATATCAGAGAGTAAATCTCATCCACATCGTTGCTCATGGGGGTGCCTGTTAGCCCGATACGGCTCTCGCTGCGTATCATCTTTGCAGCCCTCGACACGAGAGCTTTGTCGTTCTTCAGGTAGTGAGCTTCATCGGCAACAACAAGCTCAGGTGATGCAAGTAGATGTTTCTCAAATTCACGACCGAAATGCGCCAGCTTGCTGCTTTCTCCCTTGGCCTTCCAATTCACCATGTTGAGGAACATCGTATATCCGACAAGGAGGACACCGCCTAGCTGGTGCCAGGTTCGCATCTGGTCGAGCCTCTGATTCATCTCCTTATTGCTGCTGCCAGTCCCAACGGCATAAACGTTTTGAAAGATGTGGCCTGCCCATTTGTTGATCTCACAACGCCAATTTTCGACAAGTGAAGGGGGACAGAGTACCAACGTGCGCAATTGACGCTCACGAACATCGCTTGGACGCAAGTGTGCTGGTATCTGCTCGTAGACTCGCTTGTTGCGAGACTGTGCTGCCTCGTTGATCGCGACGAGGACAGCAATAGTCTGCATGGTCTTGCCTAGGCCCATGGTGTGCGCCAGTACACAGCCTTGACCTGCATCGTCCCCCTGTGCAGTCAGCTCACGCCACATGAACCGTACGCCTGTGATCTGATGGTCTTTCATCTTGGCAGCGATGCCTTGCTCGACAAAAATTAAGTCTTGTTTGTCATCCTTGGTGGCAATGTTGATAGCGACGGTGGACTTGCTGGGGTCGCTTTGAATCATGGCTTGCAGTTCTTGCGATTTTGAAGCTTGACTCTCAATGATGTTAAATCTCTTCTGGCGCTCAAAGGCGGCAGCCTGAGACTGCGCAGACTTTTCAGTCAATGCATGTCTCTTCTTGCGCTTTTTAGGCGTTTCTGGCCCGTCCTCGTCGGAACTCTCGAGAAGTGAGATGATCCTATCTGAGGGCACCTTGGAAGGACTGATTTTTTGTTCCACTTTCGGGGGCGCGAAAAGGACTGGATTCTTCAAGAATCTGTCAAGCATACCAGCAAATAATCTGCTCTGCTCATGATCATTGACGATTGAACTCCACGGAAGGTCGACGTTGAGGTTGCTGGCGGAGTCCATGATCTCTGGTAGGTGCGTTGGATAGGCCTGAGCCAGGTAGAGTTTGGCTGCAAGTGGTATCGTCTCGCCATCATCTTCAGTCCGCTGCGATGAGCCAGATTGCATTCGCCTCAATTCTTGCAAAAGTATCTTCGTGAACTGGGGCACTCTCCTCGTCCTGATGACATTTGATAGCTTTTCTCGCGCCGGCCGTCCGATTTCAGTCAAAAGCTTGATTAGAATGCGTTTCCTATCCCCATTCCTGATAAGATCTTGCATGTTCCACGAAGCTACCTCTTCGGAATTCGCAGATTCCGGATCACTTGAGAGACTTTTTTTCTTGTTTGGTGTGCCTTTAGGGCGTCCGCGCTTGGGCTTCGCTGGCGTAGAGTCCGAAGAGATTACGATAGGGTCAGACTGGTTGATAGTGGACAAACCAGCCTGCTTTGTCGGAGTCTTGATCTCTGACTTGGTCGTCTGACTAGTGAAGAATGACGAGGGACTCGGAAGGTCTGAATCTGTGCCTCTGCTGGGGTCGCTCTTCTGCGCGCTTCCGGGTTCCTCGATGCGTCGTCCCTTGGTGGTCGAGGTGGATGATAGCAGATTCGATTCATTGGATTCGCCTCCGTGCTGCGACTTGTCGGGCGTGGATGTGTTGCCGCTAGGCAAATCCAAATCCATAGCTTGGTCATCGACAACGAAGCCTTCCTCCTCATCAGACATCTCATCTGAGGCGTCGTGCTCTTCGTTCTGGGCAGCCTGAGATTCGCCCTGGCCATAATCTAGACCAGGCTGCGCAGAGGAGCGGTCCTCATCTTCATCATGAGCCATCGGGACGTCTGCAGGTTCGACACTAAGGCGGTCGTTGGCAGGTACATGTACACGCTGACCGGCAGTAGCAGTCGACTTTGCTCCGGATCCTTGGTGATAACCATGACGAGCGACGTGGAATGGCTCTTTCTTTCTCTTCCATACGTCCATCTTCCAGAGAAGATATTCAATCTCCTCGACCGTCGGCTGTAGAATGGAACACTGAGCCTTGACTTGTGCCTCCGACTGCCAGCTGTCCTGTTTGACCTCTGCTTTGTATCTCATCAAGCGCGCCTGAAGTTTCTCCACAGACGACTTTGCCGTATAAAGCAGTTGCTCTTGGATGGATCGGCTCTTCTTGGTCATCTTCCAAACCTTCCAGGCTTCTTTTTCTTCCAGTCGAGGGATCTTCTTTTCTCTCCACCCAGCAGCCGTCTCCTCGCAGAAACTATCCATGACAGCATCCATTCTGTCGCGTAAAGAATGTTCGCCGTCCGCGTCCTCGACCTCGGCCATGGAGCTGTCGTTGTCCGAGTCCTCGCCCTCACGTGAGCTTTCAACCGTTTCAGTTTCTGATTCGTCCACAGCAACGACCTTCTCTTGAGCTGTAGTTCGATACTTCTCAAGCAGATAGTCGAATTCACCGCTTGGAGCATTCGATCCACCGGGCAGCTCCAGTTCGCTGTAGTCGACGCCAGACGCTAGAAAGGCGGCGTTCTCTTTCACAGCAATGGCATCGTCCTCGGCCATCTGAATGACTGTAGCTGATCTCGCTTTATTCTCTGCTTGAAGGTGCTCACGATATGGCGTAATAGCGATAGCGTCTCGACCATGTCGTATGACTTCTCTCTCCTCCGCACTTTGCATCATGTAGCGCATCTGGCGGTAGATATACTGAGACTCTCCGGCCAATCTATTCTGCAGTTGAAAGCTGAAGTTTGTCTCGGAGAGGCTGCGGTCCTTCTGGATGTCCACATTGTCGACATGGATAGCGCCATCGACGATGGTCTCTATATCCTTGATCTCTTCACCAATAGCGGTGCCGCCGTAGAAGAGACCATCAATAGGAAGGGGAGAGTCGCCAAAGTAAGCTGCCGGCCCAGACGGAGGTGCTCGCAGTTGAGGCTTGGCGGAGTCCATGAGATTAAGCTTGCGACGCTTGCGCCCATTCCTATCCTGCACCTCAAGTTCACCTGCACGGATGTGCTCTCCGATTTTGGCATCAAAAGAAGGTAATATCTCCTGCTGCTGCTCCTGTTGTGGTTGCGCAGCGATCGACTTTGGTGTGTCCGGAGCAGGTGCAGCAGCTTCTGTGTGGTTCTCGAACGTTGTGGCGAGGCTCTTGAGCTTTGTGATGCAGTGGATCACAGCACTTCTCATACCCAGAGATTTGACGGCGCACTCCTCTTTTAGGAAGCCAGTATCAACGACACCGCTCAGGAGTACTGATCCAGCAACGTCGTTCTCTTCCAACGTCGCGGCGAGTCGGTCTGTGTCCGGCAGTCGAGCATTCGGCATATCGCTGATGAAATTCGCGGCATCATATCGAAAGAAGTTGGCAACCCGCCGGACATCCCAGAGCCACGGGTTGGTATCCATGGTGGCGAAGTGTAGCGCGCGGCGCCGCGGTGGATATGAGTTGTTGAGGTGGATGTTGATGTTCAGGTGGAAGTGGACGAGTGAAGTTCTTAAATAGGTCGAAGGTGGAGCCTGCTCCGGCGCAGAAGTGCGACGCGGAGCAGACGAGTGACCTTGTCTCAATGCTAGCACCTCAACCAATGAGCTTCGGGAGATCTGACGCAGAATGCACCTCGTGACAGCGTCGTCCAAGGAGTAGGTCTGGCAGCAGAGGCAAGAGCGAGCGATGACTGTTCGGGTAAACTGATGCGCTAAAACGAAAGGTGATCGCGTCCGACTTGTTCAGGTGGAATGCAGAGCAGAGCAGCGTAGGCACGGGCTTTGGAAGGGCCCGAAAATGGACCAGACGTCCTTACGGAGCTCCCTCACGACAACCCAGTGTGCGATGAAGGGGAGCTCTGCTTGCCGCTTAGACTGTGCGTCGTGCACTTTAGCACAAGTATTGCCGGAAATATCTGTGCCTTCTTCAGGTATCCTTGAGCCTCCTCTTCGGTAACTTGTCGTCACCGGTGGCAGGAAAGCTCCAGCGTCTGAACATTGGAAGCGTCGCGTGTGGCATTTGGCCCGCAAAGCTTCTCGGCCTTCCCTCTCGCAATAGGAGCCTGCTAATGACGATTGTTGGCGGGAGGAGAGGCTCTTCGTTCGCAGCGCGCGGCCAGCTGTGTGCTGCTCCTGGGTGATTTTGGAGTCTCTTGCGGACGACGCGGGCTGCTCAGGTATGCAAGCAAGCCTCGCCAGTGCCCTTGGTGTCTCGACGAGGATCAAAGGTCTTGTTGGAGGCTTCTCGCGCGCCTCACAGAGCGTGGACGCGTGGTATAGAGCCACGACCCGACGCGATGTCGTCGTGAGCTTCGAAAGTTTGGCCCGACGGTTCCTTGTCCGAGATCGGGAAGCGGCTCCACACTGAAGAAGGTTCCCGACCCTGACCCTGACCATTGCCAACACCTTCTCCAAAACCATACCACGACGAGATGGCGACCAGTCTGTATCCAGAGTACCCGCCGGAGCTCAATCCAGAGCAGAAAGAATACCTCTTGTCGAATCTCAAGGACTGGTCGATCGCGCATGGACTTGCCGTCAGACCAGCCCCAGCATACGTCCCAGAAGAGCAGAATCCGTCCGGAGCACTGGCAGCAACTGCGCCTGTGACGCTTTTCCCGAGTCTGTTCCCGAGAGTCTGCTTCGAGCAGGCCCAGTCGGTAGCGGAGGCGTACAATGAGCTCTACTCTGCTATTGCCAGTGACGAGCCATGGCTGACTGGCATCGTCGAAGAGTAGGTGCACGCGCCTCTCTCTCAACGTCCCTCACTTCTTCATTATCACATGCTCAGACCTGTCCCATCACTTGTGCAAACGCGGCTTCACTTCCTGGGTCACACGCACCGATTAATCCATCTCACCTTTGGCACTCAGCTGGGGCCTAGCTGATCTGTGCCTTATTAGGCTTGTCGAGATCGATGATTTTATGGCTGGTCTTTGGAAGGTGCATCAAACTGTCAAGAAAGACGGTTATGCCCAGGTAAAGCTCCTCTTATATTCCATTCAATGTCATCATCTATCTGACAGCACGAAAGTCTCTTGCCCTAGGACTTTTCCGTTCCGATTACATGGTCCATGTTGACAAAAGCAGCGATACCAAGCCATCCGTCAAGCAGGTCGAGTTTAATACCATTGCGTCCTCCTTCGGCGGCCTGTCAAGTCAAGTGTCTGGCTTGCATCGCTATTTGTCTTCGATCGATGCATATCCGGATGAGCTCTCCTCGACTGTCAATGGTCTTTCTTTACCGGACAGTGCTTCCGTTCCTTCATTAGCCAAGGGCATGGCAAAAGCTCATGAAGCATACGGTGCTCCAAAGTCCGGTCTACCGACCTGCGTGATATTTCTAGTGCAAGAACCCGAGCGTAACGTCTTTGATCAACGACATCTGGAGTACGCTCTAAGTGAGAACCATGGCGTGCGTACCTTCCGTCTGCCGTTTGATCGCGTTTTGCAGGACACCAAGGTCGATGAGAAGCGAAGCCTGGTCTACACACCGCCATCGTCACCTCACAAACAGTACGAAGTGACTCTAGTCTACTTCAGAGCTGGTTACGCTCCTTCAGAGTACACGAGTCAATCACACTGGGACGGTCGTCTCCAGATCGAGCGCAGCGCCGCAATCAAATGCCCTACCGTCCTTACCCAGCTCGCAGGGACCAAGAAAGTCCAGCAAGTCCTTGCAACACCTCACTCCCCACATCTCGCCAGGTTCATTCCAAACGAAAATAAAGCAGCAAGCATTTTAGACACATTCGCGCTCATCTATCCAATGGACAAGTCAGAGGCTGGGAAAGAGGCAAAGCAGCTCGCCACGAATCCAGACAGCGCAATCAAGTATGTGCTTAAGCCCCAGCGTGAAGGTGGTGGTAATAACATCTACCGCAAGAACATTCCTGGTTTCCTCAAGGACCTGCCGGAATCCCACTGGCCAGCTTACATCCTGATGGAGATGATTGAGCCTCCGGCCCAGCAGAACACCATCTTTCGTAACGGGGAGCTGCAGAGCGGAGGTGTTATCTGCGAACTAGGCATTTACGGAGCTTGTGTGTGGAATGCAAAGCGCGATGGCACGCGAGACATCATCGAGAACTTCGAAGCTGGGTATCTGTTGAGAACCAAAGGCAATCAGAGCGAGGAGGGTGGTGTTGCGGCTGGATTCGGCAGCGTTGACAGCCCTTGCCTTGTGGATGTCTAGGCGGGTCATGATGCATCAATGAAATCTCCTGTTTGCTGTGAGCATCAATAAAGGCAGTGGTTATAGATGGTGTGCATAGCGTAGAGAAGTCAGAATAGTAGCGAGAGCGAGAGTATTGCACTCAATACCCTGGTCTAAATAGAAAAGCTATAGCCGCCGCCAACGTCATCAAGCTGCCAAACTGCCAGGGGCAAATCCTGCTATGGTCTGTTTCACATGGCTGATGTCGCATTTTTCGAACAGCCTCCGATCTTCATTCGCTAGCAAACGGTTAGGAAGTCAGATGTTCGGCTGAGTATGCTATCTTCAACCTCACGCGTTGGACGTTTCCAGTCACTCTTTCTTTACCATTTCACGCCCATACTGGACCACGCGCTCGCGGGCGAGCAACCAGCAAGGCTAATCGTGTAGCAAGCAGGAGCATACCAACAAAGTGGAAACTCGTGAAGGGCCCACTGAGCGCGAAAGATATCACGGATTGACTCTACAAGATGTCGAACAGCTCGTTGGCGCTGACCGTCAACTGCACGAAGCCACCACAGTCGGCGAGCTCAGATGCCGGCGTAGCGGGCGCAGGAGTAAGTAAGAAACTGGACACTTAAGAATCATGCTAAAGTATGGCCTAGATCTTGCTCGCCTTCATCATTACCGCCGCCCTCGCGCTCATACTCTCCGCCTTCATCGTCCTCTCCGAGATACGCGCCAAATCACCGCGAAACATATCCCGCAAGATCCTGTCGGGCCTCAGCGATCAACAGATCGTCGAAGGCATAGCAATACAAGTCATCGGGCTTGCGCGAATCAACAGCATGATACCATATCATTTCTTCATCATCTGGATGCTTTCGCTTCTATCCACTGCCACCAACTTTGCGACATTACTTACGCTGGTGCAGGACTTCAAGCGCGACTGGGTTTTGAGATGGCTGAGACAGTTTGCTATGTTCGTCAACATGGTCCTCACGATTGTCTTTGGCGTTTTCGTGCTGGAAACAAATCTGAAGAAGATGGCGCCTACATTGCCCATGGCGTGCGTGTGGCAGGACCACGCTCAAGACAGTGAAGCGCAGAGCAATAGTACATTGAGTGTCATTGGCACGATCGCAGTCATAGCAGCGAGTTGCATCATCTTCATCCTGGGCAGCTGGTATCTACACCTTCGAAAGCAGATTTGGGGTGCAACTGTCAGGATTATCAGCTTAGTCGTCCTCCTGGCTATGGCGATAGGAGCGGCTGTGCGAGTGATGGTTATCTCTCAGGCTTTCAGCGACCCCCCGGTCAACCTTTCGGATACAGGAGAACGTGTCTGGAGCTTTGGACAGCTTCTGACCATGCTGCTCTTGATACTGCCGTTCGTCTCGGCACTGGAAATCTTCAGAGGTGAGTCCCTCCTAGTCTAGCATGCACACACATTAATAATATTGCTCCTGAGCCGCTAGAGATGTAATCACCGAGCGAAACAATAGCTGACATAAGCAGGCGAGTTGCAAGTACCGCAGGCCAACGCTTTCGCGGACTCAGATCAGGCACCTCTCACCGGTGGTGATTCTGAATTGAAGCCCATGAACGGGCGCTACACATATCAGCCAAACCCGATCTTCAGGTAACGACTTCCGCTAGCATTGCATAAAGCACAGAAGAAAGATGGAATATCACTCAATCCAGGGAGTAGCATTCCGCCTGGAGCCAGCTAGTGCATCCATTGTGACGCGTAAGCTCAGTCACATGACAGCACGTAACGTCTTAGCAGGAGAAGGATTTCCACACTATATTTTAGACTATAGAATAAGCAGAACATAGGCAATCAACGAAGCTATATTGAACCGCTAGCAAGGCAGTATTACGTAAGTAATCTACTGCGCTATACGTAATAGTTATAAGCCCGGAAATCCGTAGTATTAGAGACTTCTATAGTATAAGATAACAATTAGTAGTCTTAGTAGCACTAAAGCAAACACCATTTAATTAAGCTTCTATAAGCGCCTACAAGATTAGTATATCGTTAATAATAGCTCTCTTATCGGCTAGTCGCCTTAGCGGTACTAAATATATTACCCTTTAAGGACTAAACGACTAGGACCGCTAGTTTAAGCAAACTAAGACATATCTTACTAGATACGAGACCTAGATATATACTAATCTATATACGAATGAACCTATAGAACTAGCACAACCTATAACCCCTATACTAGACGCAGCGCGTATACTAGTTAACCCTCTATACTAGTAAGGAGTTAAAATAGCTATAGACATCTATAGGGTCTAGCTAGCGGAATTCAATCGATTTAGGTTAGTACGTAATAAGTCTATCGAGTACCTAGTAACTATAGTAGACGTACGCTATTATTTAGAGATTACCGATAATAACAATATAATAGTGCTAATACTGCGTATTATTCTTATACGCCTAAAGGACAAGCTTGCTCTAAATATATAATAGCAAAGAACAATAGTTAGTAAGGAACTAGCTCGCCTAATAGGGTTACAATAGGTTAAGGATCTAGAATAGTAGTATAAGGAGTAGCTTAATCTATATAAGAAGATAAAACGCATATAGCACTTAGAACTAGATAACCTAGTAGTCTATCTCTATATAGCAGTTACGAATGTAGATAAAACCTACGGGAAGGGACTCTATATAATGCACTAGGCCTTACCTAATACTAATCACTTCCTCTAACTTATTAGTATAGTGCGAGAATATGCCCGCAATATACTAGGTACTTCTAAGAAGGGGTTATTATTTAGCATTATCTACGAAGAAACAGGTAAAGTGTTAGAAGGGTATGTTAGCAGGTAGATAGGGTAGTAGTAGGTACGAGTAGTATTCGATAAGGAGCTAGAAGGAGAGGGAGGAAGGCAGGCAAGTTAGCCTACTACTAAGCGCTAAGCCCTACCTAAGGCATCGAGACCCTAGCTTTACTCGAGCCCGGTTATATGCTAATTACGTATAACCTCTTTAGTCCTAATATACGCTTCCCTTCTAAAGGCCGCGCCCTCGTAGCCGGTCTTTGTTCTAGCCTCAACCTCTATTGCTACTAACTTAGCAGGTCTAACAAGCCGCTTAGTCCGCGCTAAATCGAACGCATAACTACCGATTATGTAACTATGTTAAACTTTACCTCTAAACAATACAATGTACAACTCTAACTGCGCTATCTCTATATATAATAAACTATAAAGTAATATATATCTACAAGAATTGAGGGCCTTCGACTAATTATAATACGAGCGCGTCTTCCCTACTATAATAGGTAGACGTACGAGGTATTATAGCCCTACCTCCGTTCTAAGTAATATCGTACCGAGTTCTTTGCGTCTACTCTTAAAAGACCTAGCAATGTCCGCTTCCGAGGGTTTGTCCGTTCCGAGGGTTATTGTTCTTATTGTTCGTAGTTTCGCTAGCCTTAATTAGCTAGGTTTAGCAGCCTTTAATTGTCAATCTTATCTTATCTTTTCCGAAAAAAACACAGCTCGTCTAGTTTCTATAGGTAAAGGCTATTATAAGTATAGTAGTAGAGGTTCGCCTCGCTTAAAGGGTTAGATAGATCGAGGAGTAACCTATTGTCCGCAAGATCGACCCCGGCTAGCTTAGCTCTATAGTTTTGCCCTTAGTTAGCTAGTCTATTAATCGCTTAATCTTTTAAGCGGCTTAAAGTTTTAATTAAAGTTTTGATTAAAGGTGCCTTAGGCTCGTAGTGTAGGTAAGGTTGTGTCTATAGGCGTAGCGACAATAGCAAGTAATGTTAACAATAGCGGCGCTAGTCGTCTTAGCGCTAACTTTACCTTGTTTTACTTTCCTTCTTTAACTAATAACAACTCGGTAATACCGTTACTAATATAGCGGTGTCCTTCCTTTCTTAAACGGCAATATACTCCGCAATACTGTTACTAATATAGCCGCGCCGGCCGCGCCGTCCTCGCCGATTGCCTAGGCCTCGAGGCCTCGATAGAATAAGGGAACAAGAGGGGGATCTATAGGGCGCGTTAGTAAAGAGGTAGAGTCCTTAAAAGAGTAGGCAATTAGTTGACGCGTCGTAGCGCGCCTAGTATAGTCTTATTGTCCTTTATTACTAACAATTGCTTGCCTCTAATTGGTTAGCTAATAGCACCCCGGGGGTAGCATTGTTCTAGGCCTTAATAGTAACATTATAAGCTTTTGGCCTTCTTCTTGTTCTTTACGCTAGTCTAATACTTATCTAACAACTCGGTTATGTCCTTAAAGGATCCTTCAGCTTCCTACGAGTCCTATTTAGGTAAATAGCCTTGCTACCTTAGGAGGTATTCCTTCTTGCCTTTCCTAGTCCGGTGCTATAGGATACGTTCTATAGACTATAGTTCTTCACTATTAGCTAAGACTTCTTCTAACTTAGCAGGCGCTTCATTATTAGGGTCTCCGCGGTAGTAGTATAGTTTAAGGAGGGAGATGTAGAAGGTGTTATAGATAGTATAGTATAGTAGGAGCTATAACTAGTAGGCCTATATACCCTTCGGTTCTCGAATACGGAATAGGCTAATGTATCTTAGTACGAGCTTAGGCCTTGTTTTGCTATCGGGTAATAGGTGTTTGCGGATGCGGAGGTTCTTTGTACTAAGCATAACTATATCGCCTTGCTTAAAGGTTATTAGAAGGTAGTGTTTGTTATAGTAGGTCTTTTAGTACTCTTAAGCCTTTATCAACTTCTTAGCTATCTTAGTATAGATTTCTCGCATCTTCTAAACCCTCTTAATGGCCGCTAGTGTTTCGGGTACTTAACGCGCTTCCCTTTCCTTACGCTCGGCCTCGAGCGAGGTAAATAGATCTTATAGTAAGGTAGCGTTCTAGCTTATTATAGCAAAATAAGGGGAGACCTTAGTAGATGAGTAGACACTATTATTGTATACGAATTTAGCTAGTTATAGGAGGTTAACCTAGTCCTCGGGGTTCTTATTAATGTAACTGCGTAGGTACTGCTATAGGGTAGCATTCTGCCTCTCTGTTTAACCGTTAGTCTATAGATGGAAGGCTATTAATAGCCGATACTTCAGTCTTAGCTATAGGCATATTTCGCTCTAATAGTGCGATATAAATGTCGAGCCTTAGTTAGAGACTATCCCTTTAGGGGTTCCCTAATAGGTATAGAAGATGTTGTTCTATAGCGCTTCTGCTATATTAATAGCAGTCTAATCTTTCCGCGCCGGGATATATCGAGCGCCCTTAGTAAACCGGTCTATAACGACTAGGATAGCGTTAAAGATGTCTTTGCTTCCTCTTCGTTTAGTAGGGGGAAGACCTATAATAAAGTCTATTATAAGCTCTGCAAATAGCTTGTAAGGGATTAGCAATAAGGACAACTCGCTAAAAGGCTAATGCTTTAGTACCTTAACACGTTGATATACGGCATACGTGTTTACGTAGTCCTTTATATCCCGCTTACTATTTAGCTAGTAGTATATGCGCGATAGTAGCTCGTACGACCTCTCTACGCTATAGTAACCGGTAAGCTTACTATTATAGTATCGCTTAAGAAGTTCTTGTCTAATCGATTGTTTAGCGGGGACATAGTATCTGCCCTTAAACCTTAAGTAACCTTTGTCGTCGATCGACTAATTACTCTTACTAGATCGAGTCTTTCGCCTACTTACAAGCTTATCTATACGTTTAGTAGCAAAGGCGTCCCTCTGCTAAGCCCGTAATAGCTTATCTATAAACGATTAACTATCCCTATTTATAAGGTTATTTAATAGCACCCTCGCTATTAAACGAGGTACGCATTGTATATATCTAATAGCACTAGTAGCCGGATCAACTGTAGTAGTACTATCGCTGTTACTATATATAGCGATGTCGACTAGGGAGTTATTATAACTTCTCCTGTCTGTGTCCTTAACACGCACTGTTAATATAGTAAGAGCATTAATATGCTTTAAGCCGTCGCGGAGTCCGGTAAGCCGCTTATCCTACGCTTGCTTATTAATAATACAGGCTATAGCAATCTTATACTATAGGGTTAGAAACAATAAATTAATAGATTGCTAAGTCCCGCTATCGTAATTAGGTCGCCTCGATAGGCTATTAGTAGGGTTGCTTACGCCTAGCCGATATAATATATTAAAATCAAACCTAGCGAGGTAGACGGCCTATCTAGCCTGTCGACCTATAACCCTAGTAACCTTCGTAATTCTACGGAGGTTGTTATAGTCCGTATAGACCTAAATAGTATACTGTGCACTATCGAGATAGTAGCGCTAGTGCTTAAAGGCCTCGATAATAGCTAGGAGCTCTTGCTCGTAGGTCTCGTAGCGGCGCTTAGTGTAAGAAGGGTTATGTTAGTAGGTAGATAGGGTGGTAGTGAATTAGTGTAGTATTCGATAGAGATCTAAGAGGAGAGGGAGGAAGGCAGGCCAGTTAGCCTAACGCTAAGCGCTAAGTCCTGCCTAAGGCATCGAGACCCTAGCTTTACTCGAGCCCGGTTATATACCAATTACGTGTAACCTCTTTGGTCCTAATACACGCTTCCCTTCTAAAGGCCGCGCCCTCGTAGCCGGTCTTTGTTCTAGTCTCAACCTCTATTGCTACTAACTTAGTAGGCCTAATAAGCCGCTTAGTCCGCGCTGAATTAAACGC